ACGGACGGCGAGAGAGAGAGAGAGAGAGAGGGTTAAGTTGCGTGTGCATTGGTGTCATTTTTGTCGATAGTGCGCTGCACTTGCACGAATCGTTTTCTTTTCTTGCTTTTTTTTGACAAAGCGGTGGGTGGTGCGTTTTTTTTCTTATTGCTGCTGCTGCCGCTGCGGCTGCCTTGGAATCCAAATGGCCTCACGTGGCGTCTTGACCGCGGCCTGCGTTGTTGGGGGTCTCACGATGACGGGCGTCGCGCTGACGGCCTCGCGATGGCGGCGGACAGAGGCGCGCCGCGCAGAGCTTAACAACGAGTACGCCGACGTTCTAACGGAACTCCGCTCGTTGAATGACGCACGCCTAAAGGACGCCGAAGATCTACGGCGCAAGCGAAAGGAAACGGCTCTGATGCATGAGACGGTGGCCACTATCTGGGCCGATCGTCTTGCGCGCTACGTGCAAACCAATAAGGAGCTGCACTCTTTCTTGAAAGCCCTCCCGGAGGCGCTTGGCGCCCTGAAGGGCCTCACAAATCATTACCAGTACATGGCAACGGAGATGCGGAAGTTTGTGGCTTTCGACGTCGCCTGTAGTAAAGTGCATAACTTCGCACTTCTTCTTGAACACGGGGAACATGTAGGGATGCCGCGTGTGGTGGAGAGAATTCGCCAACTACTCATTGCAGAGCCCCTAGTCCAGGTGGTGTGTGACAGTGTCAGCCAAGTCCCCGCCGACATTAGCTGCCCAAGTTCCCTTGGTGAGTGTAGCTCAAGTTTTGTCTTTTGCATGGAGGAGCTTGACCGGGCGATTGAGCTGGCAGTCGCGCGCCACCTTGAGTTTCAGAGCGAAGAGGGGAAAAAGACCCCCAACGTCATTTGCGATGGCGTGCGCAAGCTCACCAACGAGGCCAGGCTGAATACACTTACCAAAGGCGACATCGCCCTGCAGAAGGAGCGAAGGGCGCTTCGAGACCTCCTCCTCCGTGACCGACGGCAGCTGCACACGACAGGTGACCTGAGGAGCGCTCTGGAATACGTTGAAGGCGTGTCGGATCGGCTCTGCACTGACGATGCGGGGGAGGCTGGGCTGCGCAAGATTATTTCCACTGACGCCGCCGTCAAAGCCGCACAGGACCAACTCCTCTTGTGGCGGAGGTCGGCGGCGGTCTTCCTCGTGCAGCAGCAGGCGAAGGAGGTGTTGGAAGCCTACCAGCTGCTGTTGGCGGAGACGCTAACAAAAACAAGGTCAGGCTAAAAGGAGCGGAACGACAGCGAGGCGAAGAGAGGAGAAACGCGGAAGGTCGATGGCTGTTTCACAAGGTGTGAAAGGGTTTCAGCGCAACCTCGGTGGCTAGCAATGCGGCGGTGAGAAGGATCGAGAGGTGGAGGGAGGTAGAAACTCTAGTTTTTTGGTCTTTTGTGTTCATGCAACGTGTGCAGGTGTGGCTGGAGAAGGAATTCAGTTCCACACCTCTTTCTTCCCTGCGGCAAGCCATTGGCTTTGCTTTTGTTCTGTTTTGTTTATTCAATTTATTTCCTTCTTGTTTCTGCTCTTCACGGCGCTCCGAAACAAATTCCGTGTCGGCGCATGCGTGCTTGCGCTAGGGGCGGAGCGAGAAGGAGAAGGAAATAAGAGGGGCACAACAACAGCCGCAGCAAGAAGCCGCAACAGAAGAAAGCCGTACACGCTTGGGTGGGCATTTTTTCCCATCCCCCTTTTTGTTTTTGTTTTCAGATTTAATTCGGCAACCGTTATATATATATATATATATATTGCTTAGGAAGTGTCAGTGAGACACATGCCAGAGGCTTGCTTCCTGTGTTTGGACTCCACGGAGTTTATGCGCAACGGCGATCAGTTTCCCACGCGTTTCCTCGGGGTCCAGGAGGCTGCCAGTCTGCTCTCCAACGCCAAAATTCAGATGAATGCGGAGAACACTGTGGGATTTCTGACACTTGGCGGCAACGCATGCACCGTCTTTGAGACCCTCACGCTGGACGTGGAGCGCGTCATGTGCAGCCTTGCAAATATTTCTATCCGAGGCAAACGGTGCCACTTTTCGCAGGGGCTCCAGATCGCTTCTCTCGCACTGAGCCACCGAACAAACCCGCGTGCGGAAAAGCGCATTGTCGCCTTCATTGGCACCCCACTTACCGAAACGGACGAGGAGCTGGACAAGCTGGCGCGTAAGCTTCGCAAGGATGATGTGGCTGTGGATATTGTGGGGGTTTGCGTTGAGGCGAATGTCCCTCGTCTTGCGGCATTCGTCGACAGGCTGAATAAGAATGGCAACTCCCGCTTCCTTAGCATCCCTGTCGGTGCTAACCTCACGGACGCATTGATGTCCAGCCCCATTTTGCTGGGTGCCGACAGCGTTGGCGGCGCAACCGATAACCACGAGGCGTACCAAGGCTTTGGCGTAGACCCTTCCAACGATCCCGACCTCGCCATGGCCATTCGCATGTCACTGGAGGAGGAGCAACAACGACAGGCGGCTGCGGCAACACTGGCGCCCCAAAGCACGGCCCCCGTTGCTGCAGCCGCGCACGAGGAGGCTCCCCCGCCGCGTGAGGACCCGGAAGACCTGGAGAATTTGTCTGAGGAGGAAATGCTTGCACGCGCGTTGCGAATGTCGTTGGAGGAGGCACCAAAGACGTCCGGGGGTGCAGAGACGAGAAACGCGGCTCCCACTTCCGACGAGGAGTCCTTTCTCCACGAGCTGGAAAGGCAGCTGGAGAGGAAACACCCAAAAAGTGAAACCTCTCAACCCCCCGGAGGCGATAACCTACCTGGGAATGAGGAAGAGTCCCAAGGTGAGGAAGAACAAAAGAAGAAGGACAAGTAGCTCTTGACGCTTGTGCGCGTGTGGGCGTTTCGCCCTTCCCTTGGAGCGGTGCGTGGTGGACGCATGTGTGTTTGTGTGTAATGTGTGGGTGTATAGAAAAGAAGTGAGGGTGGGTGAGAAGGAAAACAGCAACCGCACCAACAAGGACAACATCCTCCCACGTAAGAGGAGGAAGCAACATAAAGAGTAAATGTGTGACAGGCTCATTCACCCTTCCCCACTGATGTGTGTGTAGGTGGTGGGTGGGAAGAGCGAGGGAGTTCCACGGATTTCTCAAGCAAAGCAGCAACAAAACCGGTATTGCGTTGCGTTGTGTTTACTGTTTTTATCAGTTTTATTCTGTTTTTGTCGCTTTTGCCTCGATGCAAGTCTGCCTCCGTGCGTGTGTGTGTGTGTGTGCGTGTGTCCTTGTGTTTTTTTTTCACGGTGTGCGTCCATTTTTGCTGGGTTCCTTACGTGTTTTTTTTTTACTTCTGTTCCCTCTGTTTTTGCTTTTCCACGTTCTCATGTTTAACCGCAAAACGTTGGGCGGACATGCGCAGATCACTTACACACAAAAACAACAACAACAAAAGCCGATTGCTAGTATAGACAAAGATGGTGCTAGCGGCTATTCGGGTTTTGGTGTGCGGAGCGGAGTTCCATCGGGTAGAGTCGGCACTTGGGGGCTATGTAGAGAACACAAACTTTGCATGGAATCGCCGTTACGAAATATCTTGTGCTGCTTCGACGGGGGTGCATGAGGTGGACGGTCGGCTACTTTCCATGTGCCACCTTGTGGTGCTCACGAGGGGCGCCAGCTCTCCGTTGGATGCTGCAAGCTATCTTAGCAAGCCCACCGTCGCACTGGAGGACGCCCCAGAGAGCGCGGTGGCCATGCTGAAGGGCTGTGACTTCTACTACGGTGTGCACCCCCTGGAGAAGCTGCGTTCGGCAGCTGTGGATATAGGCCTTTCCCCACCACACGTTATTTGGGACGCCGCGTTACGCATGTTTACAACAAACGGTGCATTGTGCCTCCGTCGCGCCTTTTGGCTTCTTGACAAGGATGGGGACGGGGTACTAGATGAGGAGGAAATAATTTTATGGCAGCGTTCCGTGAAATCCGCGTGCTTTTCAAAAAGTGACGTTGGTGAATGGCTTGCTAGTTGTTCACTGAAGGACTCCTCCATCAAGGCGGTAGATTCTGACGCCTTTATGAAGCTGCAGGAAGACTACTTACTGAACGGTGACGCGAAGCAAGTGTGGGCAACGCTTAATGTGACAGGGGTTTACCCTGATGGACTGCCGTATTCGTGGAGAGACCTGCATGCGGTGCGTGTGAGTAAAGAGAGCAACACATACCTTTCTCACACCGCCATTCAGTTCTTTCGAAATTTGTACAAACTTCGTCGGTTTCACGATCTTGACAATATGTGGGATTTCACTCCAGGGTGCCCGTGGAGGCACGTGCATGGGTTTCTTAAGACACAAATCCCACTGGATAAGTTTATCGAGTACTGGAAATACTTGGCGCTGACAAACCGCAGCCTGGTGGCGCAGTATGCCAGATATTGGGGCTATAAAGGGGACACAGGCCTTCTATTTTTGTTACGGCACGCACGCCAATATCGTGAATTGGGTGAGGCGGTACCTAATACAATCCAGGCCCTTGTGGTTGGTTCCCCTGGGTGCGGACGAAGGAGTCTCACCTTTACACTTACCGCATTGGATGAGGAGATGTTCAACGACGGCGTGGATGCATCGCAGGAAATGTACATTAGAACCACAACTTTTCCTGTAAGGCATGGCGAAGGAGACACACTTCAAACGGTAGTGTACACCACCGCACCCATTGAACACCTCATGAAGGTACTAGGCGACGACACGCTGGAAAAGCAGCTGGACGTGGTGCTTCTCTGTTACGATGGAACACGTGTGGAAGAAACTACACCGCCCATTATGCGTGCGTACCTAGATGCTAAGGCGTCACCACTGCGGTGCCGTAATTTGCCGTTTGTGGTTGTCATGACAAAAGCGGAGGCTTCTGCCTCAGCGGAGACCCCCAGTGAGGGAGCCAAGGCGATGGAGCGCTTTTGTCGCGAGCACCAGTTGCTCTGGCCTCCTGTTGTAACGAGCGTAGAAGCTCCTGACGAATCTGAAATTGTTGCCCTTAATGAATACATGTATGCCGTCGCCAGGGAACCCGAGATTGCTGTGGGAAATCCACCTCTAACTCCCCTGCGTATATTAAGACGCGTCGCAATTGTCACGATTTTCACACTTGCCGTAGGAAGTGTCACGCGCCTGGTCATTCGACGACTCCGTGGAAGGCGTCAGTAGAATGTAAAAATAAATACATATTCTATCGACGCCGATTGCGAGATTGTGCAGGTATGAGTAGAATAGATGTACAAAAAAAATGGGGAAGAAATTGAAATAAATACAAGAACAAAAACAAAAAAAGCGACAGCAAAAGAGGGACGGGGAACAGGAAAGATGGAATGATGTAATTCACTCAACGGATCTGAAATAAAGTGGAGGTGTATGCGTGTGTGTGTGTGTTCGTGTGTGTGCTCATGCCGCTCTAGCTACTCCTGTTCTGTTTCTTGTTGCTCCCTTGCCAGCACCTCATTCTTTTCGCTGGTCTTGTAGCCACTTCTGCTTTTACATGCATATATGCCGTTGTTGTTGCTCCTGTTTGCTTGTTTCTTGTCCTGCTCTTGTGCCGGCGTAACCGTTTTGCAGGGGCCTTATTTGTGCCATCGCACCGCCTTATCAAAGACTTTTTCCAGTTGCAGGTAATGTCGGCTGGGGTTCCTGCGACCTTCGCCGCTGGCTGCTTTTGGGGGACCGAGAGGTTCTTCGTGAAGCGCTTCGGGGATGCCTTGATTTCTCACGAAGTGGGGTTCATGGGGGGCGCCGAGGCCGATGAGGTCACGTATCCGATGGTGAAGAAGGGCGACACCGGGCATGCGGAGGTGCTGCACGTCATGTACAACCCCGACAAAGTCACCTACAAGCAGCTGCTTGATTTCTTTTTCCGCGTACACAACCCGACGACGTTGAACCGGCAAGCGGACGACGTCGGCACACAGTACCGCAGCGCCATTTTTTACCACAGCGAGGAGCAATTGCAGGAGGCCAAGGAGTACATTTCAAGGCTCAATGGCGCGGACCCGACGCTGCGGGCCGCCTTCGTGAAGGCCTTTGGAGATGTACAGGTCGTCACCTCGTTGGAAAAGGCGGCGCATTTTTATCCAGCAGAGGAATACCATCAACAGTACCTGGAGCAGAATCCCAACGGCTACTGCTCGCACCGCTTGCATTGGTGATTTCCTTCGCGTAGGATTTTAAAGAGGCCTCTTCCCCTTCCCGGTTTCTTGTTTTATTATTTGCTGGGTTGTATTTTGCTTTTTTTTTCTTTCTTTTGGCTCTGGGCGACGACGGATGGGTGTGCCACTCCTCAGCGTTTTCCCTGTGTGGCTGCGTGGCGGGGCGGCGGGGTGTAGCCGCACCTCCACTCCGGTCCACCCTCATCTCCGGGTCCGGGGGCTGTTTTCCGTGTCATGGCGGGGAGACAGATGCATTTGGCGACGGTGGCCGTTGTGCGGGCCACCGGGTTCAGCTTTAAAGGAGAGAAGAGAAAGAAAATAGAAACCATGCGCGAGAGTCACTAGACGCCAGTGAGAGGAGTGCAAGAAGAGGTGGGAGTGAATAATTGGTTGTGTGTCTCGCGCTAGCTCCCCTGCCTCTTTATTAATGTCTTGAAGTGAGTTTCCAATCGGGGCCGCGCTGGAACGTAGCGTGGGTGCAGTCACATATTACTGTTTTGCCGTTCCACTTTAAAACCCTAGCGATGCTCTCCACACGGAAGGGATTCTTGTGGTTGCGGGGAACGCTACAGACTGACACTTGGCGAGTTTCCAACGGGGGCGCGGGTAGTAAAGCTTCTTCCATTTCTTAATTAGGTGACGTGCTTATGCGGCTTGGGGGGGGGGGGGGCGTCAAGCAGCTCGGAGTGTTGGCGACGCTGAACGAAAGCTCAGGCGTTTATTGCCGTGCCCGATCTCTGTGAGAAAACTGGGCCAGACCCCTTCCCCCACAAATGCGTAAGTGCAGTCATTTGTAATCCCTGTTTTCTTGCCTCTTCTTTTCCGTAGATGTAAGTGGGCTTGTACGTATGTTTCTGGTTCTTTTTTGCCGTTGCTACCGATGAACGCTTTTTTTTTTGGTTTGTGGCAGGCTGCTCTGAGTGTGTGTGTGTGTCCATTCGTTAATGGGGACTTGCTTGGTTGTTCATGCCTGACGACGTGCTCCCTTAACGCCGGATCTTCCTGTGAGTGTTTGCTTCAGTAGGTGGACTGCTGTGGTTAGTTCTCTAGCCCGTATAAACACCGTTAAGCTCATGACGGGCAGAATCAAAAACGTACAAGAGCAAAATAACTATCTTCGCGCGAGCTGAGGAGGAGTAGGAGGAATCAGGCGGGCCATCCTTTTGTTTTTGGTAACAACTCGGAAGGGGCATTGGTCCGAGGACAATAGTCCTTAAATTTTTTTTTTTAGTGAAGGCCCTCCCATTCCGTTGGCTGCTTTTTGTTTCTTTGTTGTAAAGGAGAATGGGAGGATCATTGGATCAATGCTATTCCATGCGCTGAAAAGGGGCGGAAAAACATTTGCGCATGAGGGGACTTCATGTCCTCCCCCGCCGCTTCTCTTGCATTTGTGTAATTGGGTTTTCAAAGGCTTTGATAGGTAGAAATATGTTGCAGCAGGCTGTCTCGTACGTTATTTCAGGATTGGCGAAACTAGGCGACATTGACGCGAGTAATGTTGAAACGTCTCTTATGAGGCGGACATTGCGCATTCAGGATATGACACTTAGGCAAGACACGCTGAACGCTTTTCTCCCCTTTCCTATACACTCGGGACGCGTCAGCGACCTGCGGGTGGAACTCCCGTGGCCCACCTCCAAGGACGCACTGTTTGTATCCTCCCAGGGCATTACTCTCACACTAAAGGGTGACGTCCCTAAATTTAACACTAATGCAATGACCAGGGAGGAGATACGAGGTGGGATCACAGAGGAAAGCATTTTTGGCGCCAAGGAGGCGTCTCCAGCTTCAACCAATTCTTATGAAGAGGAGGGTGGTGATGCGTTGGAGAATTCGGGTGAATACGCTGGGGAACAAGAGCCCTCGGCGGCGGCGTTGTCAGAGGATGATGATTACATGTCTTGTCGGAGCGTTAGTAATGCCTCATTTGCGTCTTGCGAGTCGCAGGAGGATGTGGCTTCTCTTCCAGAGAATGGATTTGGATTATTTTCTTTTTTTGTTAACGCCGCCGGTCGTTCCGTGTCGTGGGTAATGAATCGACCGATTCATCTGCAGTTAAGGAACACCTCTGTGATGTTGTTGTGTGATTCACAGTCGGAGGTGGGCTTTGAGGTTGCGGCGAGGGAGATCGTGGTGCAGATCGAACCTGCCTCGGAGGCCGGCGCAGAGATTATGAAGGTGGTTGTTATCAACTTCGCGGGTGTTGCCGTGTATGCGCACGCCACCAAGGAGCAAAAGCAAAAGATTGTGGGAATGGATCATTTTAGTATACGCGTCACCTCTGTGTATAGTTCCATGGGTGTGCTCCGTCGCAAGAATATCGCCGTCATCGTTGACGGCGTCACCTCGGTGTCCCTAGATGAAGACGCACTGCAGGCTCTTACAAGCTGCGCCGTGAGTCATCGACTCATGACGGAGGTCCCTGACTACTGCCGTCCGTTTCGTGGGCTTCTTCAACTGCCTTCGCGTTGGCCCTACGCCAAAAGTTGCGTCTTAGCCTTCATACGGGATAGACGGCGACGGTACAATTTTAATGCCTCGCACCTTCACTTCTACGCGGAGGCCCGCACCTCCTATCTAGCGCTTCTGGATTACTGTCATCGCACCAGGGACATAGCAGAAAAGAAGGAAAGTTTGGCCGAAGTAGAAGAGGATCTTCGCTACCGTGATGTAGTTCTTTTCTTGAGGCGCAGAGTCCAGGAAAGGTACTCTGCCGCCGCACGCAGCAGCAACGCAGGAGTGCAGGCATCAATGCCAGCGCGGCCTGCAGAAGCTGGTGGGCCGGTTATACTTTCTTCTTTCCATGTGGAGGCGAAAATCACGTGTGTGCGTGCGCCTGCTAAAACAACAGTGTGGCTGCGCGATGTGGCTTTTGTGAACCGCCGCGGGGAGTCCAATTTTACAGTTGGAGGTGTTACTGTGGTTGCGGAGGGGAAGTCTCAACAACTGCAGGCGTCTGATGCCGGGCAGCCTTTTTTCTCTTTCCAGCGAACGGAGAGCAACGGCACGGCTTTTTTTAGAACCCAATTCGAAGACTGGCGTTTTACGGCCACGTCGACGTGGATTCTGCAGGCTGTGCAGCCCTTTCTGGTCGCTGCGCCGGACCTTCTGCTGACCGTGCCGCGCACATGTGGCGGTGCCCCGGAACCAACGTCTCATGAGCGGCGTGAGTGCACTACGAGTTTTATTTTTCCACTGGTGCAGCTTGCTGTGGACGGCTTACAGCTGCACCTGGAGCGGTTGTCCCTGGTGTTTATTGAGCAAAAATCCGGTGGGTCACGTGTTGCTTTTTTGACTGAAGGAGTTGCACGTGCGTTTTGGAGAGGAAACAGTCGTGCTGTCACCCATGAAGCTGGAAATGACGCAAGAAGATGACGTTGTGGTCTCTGCAGTGAGGTTGAACGTCTCGAATGAGCTCTGGGAATACTTATGCCACCTTCGACGTGAGTGGAGCGAGGCACTTTTGCGGCTGCGCAAGATAACCGACTCTGCAGCAAGTCTGCGGTCGGCAGCGGGTAGCGCACCGGCGAGAAAGTCGCTTGCGGAGGTGTGTGGTGTGGCCCCATTCACGGGGGAGTGCCATTCCGCGTCCAACTCCCAACACGTGTGTGTTATGGGCGTCGGA